ACTGGGGCACGAAGCCGTGTCCCCTGCATCGGCAGGCGGGCTCTCGACCACTGTGCCACCAGGGAAGCCCGAGAGCCCCTTTTTTAAAGCCAGAGAGTAGCTTGGAAAAGGGCCAGGGGGTGTAATGGATCCCAAGGTCTTCCCAGGAAGTAAGCTGACTGAGGGCTGCAAGTCACATCTGCCCACAGCTGCCCTTCCTCCTGTCCACACCCTGATGGGGATCTGGTGACTTGCAGGTGTCCTAATCCTGTTTGGGGCCCTCTTCCCTCACAGTAAGGACTTTCTGTTCTTTCTCTCTGGTTTTTAAGGGGAGAAGAACCGCCACAGAATTGAGAAAAGGGAAGTGTTTGTTCAAAAGAGGGGAAGTGGAAGCTGGTGGTGTTTCATGCTGAGACCACGAGTGGGATCGTGACTGGCTTTGTAACAGCATAGCTCATGCTTTAAACCATTTGTACTTAGTTTGTCCTGTTTCAGGATGCATGTGGATGTGGACAGAAAGCAAGAGGTGGTGTTCACTGGAATGCAGGGGCATCTGTCTGTCCCCACAGGAGGAGAAATCTGATTCCGTATTCTCTGGCATCTCAGCAACCTCTGGACCCTTAGAAGGAGAGGTCCGTTGGGAGATTGATTGGAGTTAAAATCTCAGTTTTAATTGGGGCTCTTTGTGATGTGGAGGTATTTTGGGTGGGTTTGAGTGAACTGGACTTGTCTGGCATGGACTGCAAGTGGGGAGAGGAGAAGAAACAGGGAGGAGGAGAAGGGTGGGGCCTCTGCTGCCTTCTGACTGGCGGGCACCCTCCTTTCACTCTGGACTTCCACCCGGGGACACGAGTGCTCACCAGCTCCATTTCACAGGTGGTGAGACTGAGGCTCAGTGAAGGCGGGTACACAGTTGGGAAGTTAGCGGAATCCAGCCCCACTCTCATCCTCTCCAGCGGCTCCGGCGGCTGTTGACCACTTGAACTCCAGCCCAGATGCTCTCCTGTGATGCTGTGGCCCCGGCGGGCGGGCTGCGGCTGCAGGGAAGGCCCCATGACCAGACTGGAGTGGTGATTCATACTGCACCCTGACTCCAGGCTCACGGGCCCGGTTCTCACTGAGGCCAGGGATGAGCAGGGAGAACAGTTGGCAGGAGCCGTGGAGCAGGAAAGGAGGGTGGACCGTGGGGCAGTTGTCAGCACGGCAACTGAGAACCAAATGGGAGCTGCCCACGGTCCCCGCCCCCGCGAAACCAGAGAATCCTTTCGTCTTTTTTCTGGCTGTGCCACGCAGCTTGCGGGATACCAGTTCCCGGACCAGGGTGGCCAGGGATCGAACCCAGTCCCTCGGCAGTGAAAGCGCCAAGAGCTAACCACCGGACCGCCAGGGAATTCTAGAAACCAGAGATCTGTGCAGTCCGGTTGCGTGGAGGGGTCCCACGCTCCACGTGAGCGGCCGGCTAAGTCCGCAGGGGGCCCTGGGGACGCTCCTGTTTGACACACGGGGAGTGTTCTGCGCGGATGGCCTCTGATATCCTGAGGACCCTGCCATGTTTCTGACACCTGGACAGGTAGTGGTGAGAGCCTAGGGTGGCGACCCTTCCGGGTGCGATTCTGACGGGCCCATCAGCCAGGCCTCCCCCTGCCTGGTGGGTCCAGACGCCCTCTTGTGGGGAGCACACTTCCCATCTTGGGGCAGTGTTAAGATGCCAGGGGTAAGTCAGGGTGTCGATATAAAGGAACCCTCTGCTTTGCGTCTCTGCCCAGAAGACTTTTAAAACAGGCCCCGGACAGCTCTGTCGCCCCTCCTGCCACACGCGGACACGGCAAGACGTTTCCTAACAGTTTGGAGGCTCCTGACACAGGGTCACGTGAGCATCAGCTTCCCCATGAGTCACTGAAAATGGGAAGGTTAAGCATTCTGAGCAGGAAGTCACTGGGGAGAAGGCATCTGATTGGAAACAGAGCGTTTGGGGGCTCATCAGAACAAGTGTTCTTTCAGGTGGGTGGCTCCGGGTCTTTGGTCGCACCAGCTATTATTCTTCCTTAAAAAAAAAAAAAAAACCCACAAATATAACATGCTCATTTAAAAAATATATATATATATATGTAACATGCTCGTTTAAAAAAAAAAGGCGGCTATATAGTGAAAATCAGTTTCTTGGGACTTGTGTATGTTTTTCTCAATGTTTTGCACGAATGACAGGGATAAACATGTACGTGGCTTGATGGGCTCACACTTGCCATGACTCACCTGCTGCTTTGCTCCCCTTCACTTACTGTCTGTTTTCGTCTTTTTTGTCAGTACAGTGTGATTCACTTCAACTAGTTTATTTCTTAATGGCTGCTTTTATATTCTGTTATTTAAGCATTTACCACAGCTGTGACAGTTAATGTTATTAGTTGCTTTCTTTCCGGTCTTCTGCGAACACCAAGAATGTTTAGTGAACACCCGTATACCGGTATCTTTCGTCTTGAGGCTTGTGGGATACATTTCTAAATGTCAAACTGCTGAGTCAAAGGGCATGCAGTTAGGAGAATTGATAGAGTTTGGGTCATACCTACCACTGGGTATTCATCAGCGTTAGCGTCTGTTTTCTCTACACGTCTAACCCCAGCTGAAAACTTTCCACCCCTGCCACCTTTGCCAGTCTGAAAGATACATACCTCTTTGTTGAGCATCTTAAAGTATCTGTTGGCCTTCTATAGTATTTTCTGTACATTTACTGTATATGTCCTCTGGCCATTTTTCTATTATGCTTTTTCTATTCTGATTTTTTGAGTCCTTTGCGTATTAGGGAAACAGAACCCTAAGTATTTGTAAGGACTGGTTTTTGTCCATTTGTCACTTTATATTTTGTTTTTTTCTAGAAGAGAGGCTTTATTTTCATGTAATCATTTTCCCCTTTAAGATTCTATTTTATGTCGATCTTAGGCATTCCTCACGCCAATGTTACATTTATAAAAGTGCCCTTATTTTCTTCATACAACTTCTGTTCTTATTCAAGATCTTTGTTTCATGTAGCACTTTTTGTATAGTAAGGACTTGAGAGTAAAGATTGAGTCTTTTGGGGTTTTTTCCCCAAAATGCACAGCCAGTTGTGCAGGCACCATCCACCAAGATGTGCTGTTTCCTCCCTCGTAGGATGTGCTTCCAAATGGCCTGTTCAGTTGATGCAGCTCTTCCTGGGCTGGCGTCACCCAGGGTTTATCATACGTTTCCCACCCCAGACCTTCAGGCCTCCATCACTGTTCTTCTCCAGAACCGTCTGGCTATCTTCACACATGGATTCCTCCAAGTTAATTGTTGCTTAAGCAACAATTAAGTTAGGTTTTCCCTTGAATATAAATCACTGTGTGGAAGGCAGCATGTTCAGTGCTGTCACCTACGTCATCTTCATGTACCCCTCACAAAAACCTGTGACCCGAGGTGACCCAGTGACCCTGCTGTTCCAGCCCGAGGTCAGGGACAGGAGATCCCAGCACGCGCACGCGCGCATACACACACACACACACACACACACTCTCACTCTCTCTCTCACTCGCTTACTGAGTGGGCATCTCACGAGGCCCTGCAGTGCCGTGGCGCCCAGGTCACATTTCTTGCTCTCATCAGAGCTTCTTGCCTAAGAGTGTGCCTCAGAGGCTGAGCTGGAAGTTGGCAGTCTCCTGACCTGCAGGCCAATCCAAGAGCTAAGGCCTTGGTGGTGATGGGATGGCTTCCCTTCTCGGGAGCCCCGTCTCTGAAACTGGAAGCAGAGCCCTTGGCTGACTGGAAAAGCCACGGACAGTTCCGGGAGACCTGTGCCACCGGCCAAACCAGCTGTTTCCCAGCTCTCGAGACGGCACGCGCGGGGCTGGAGGTGGGCTTGTGTTTGCTTGTTTGGTGTCCAGAACGTGGCTCATGAGATCGCTCTTCTCTCACGTGTTTGTCATCCCACTGGTCTTCCACTTGAGACATGATCACGGGGAAAGGCTGTTTATTCCTTGGGAGCACAAACTTGGGAGAAGTCACAAACTTTGTTCCAGGAACCCATGGAGAGGCAGGTTGACCACAGTGGGGAGGGCACTGGATTCGACTTTGCCTGAAGGTCCGGGTTTGTCCATTTGTTTAGGATGGACTTGTTGAAACTGCTTGTCGCCTGGGCCCTGGGGTGGGTTCTGACAGATAGCAGAGCGGCCTCGGCCCCGACCTCCCAGCTCACGAGATAGTTGATCTACAAACCATGCAGTGACCAGCATCATTTCAGACTGTGAGCCCTGCCCTGGCCCTGCAGCAGCTCTAGAGACCGGTGACGTGGCGTCCTGCCGGCATCCAAGGAGGCCTCACGCACACAGCACAGCCCTTTCTTGGCTTTCTCTCTCGTGCATGCTCCCAGCCACCTGGAGGAGAAGCACACAGCCTGTCTCAGCCATTCAGGCCATTACAACAGAATGCTACAGACGGTGGCTTCCAAACAAACTTACTGCTCACAGTTCTGGAGACTGGGAGCCCCAGATCAGAGGCCAGCATCGGCCAGTGAGGACCCCCTGCCTGCTCAGACTTCCCCTGTGTCCTCACATGGAGGAAGGGGGGCCAGCGAGCTCTGTAGGAGCTCTTTTATAATAAGGGCAGTAATCACATTCATGAGGGCTCCACCCTCATCATTCCCCAAAGGCCCCACGTCCTAACACCATCACCTTGGGGGGTAGGATTTCAACTTGAATTTGGGGGCGTGGGACACAAACATGAGTCCATTTCACAGTCCTGCATGCTGTGGGCAGGGGCTGGGACTTTGAGACAAGGCCTGAGAGCACATGGTCACCGAGGCTTGAAGGCTGTCTGCTGACACCTCAGTTCCAGAAGAAGAAACTGAGGAGCACAAGGGGGCAGGTATTAGAGCCAGGATGGAATGGGATCCCTTTGACCACTGGGTTGTTTGTGGCCCCAGAACAGTGCTACCTGAGGTGACACCTTGTGTGTGTCAAGCACTTGAACTGAGGGAAGAAGCATCCTGATGTCTTGTGTCCTTTCCTTTCCAGGTTAATCTAGGATCCAGTTTCCAAAATGTGGCGGCTCCTGGCCACACTCAGCTGCCTGGTGGTATTGACCAGTGCCTGGAGCAATGTGCATTTCCCGCCTCTGTCGGATGAGCTGGTCAACTTTGTTAACAAGCAGAACACTACGTGGAAGGTGGGCTGGGGGCGCCTTCTGTGTACTCTGACTCCTGAGGGAGGGGCTGCAGCTGTGGCCCACGGGACAGTGTGTCCTAGACAGTTGATCTGATTCATAGACCTGGCCACTGAGGCCTACGTGCACCGCCCTGTCCCCTTCCCTGGTGTATGTATTGTCTGTGTGTGAGAGTGTGTGAAGGTGCATGGGGGAAAACCAGCTCTGGAAGAGTTCACCACCGGGTAGACACTGTAACCCCACCGTGGTAGGTGTCACAGCCCATCAGTACCACCAACTCCGTGATTCTGCCCAGCCCTGAGGCCCGAGGCTACAGGAACAGAGGGATGAGGGATAAGCCATGTTCAGGGCATTGGAGGGTCTCTCGTGACGTCAGCAAGTGGTACAGCTTGGGGGAGATCCCCACTGGTCTGAGAGCTGCCCACTGCCCGTGCGGTCACTCTGGGCCGCTCCCCGCCTGCTCTGCAGATGCCTGTCTTAATCCATTCAGACGGCTGTAACAAAAGCGCAGAGGTCAGTGCTTGTAAACCGGAATGTGTTGCTTGCAGTTCTGGAGGCTGGAGGTCCAAGATCAGGGTGTTGGCGGTCAGGTTCTGGGGGGGGGGGCCCTCTTCCGGGTTGCAGGTGGCTGACCTCTTGTGCCCTCACTTAGCCTGAGGGGTAAGCTAGCTCTCTGGAGTCGCCTTATAAAAGGGCACGATCCCATTCATGGGGGCTCCACCCTCATGACCTAAGCACCTCCAAAGGCCCCACTTCTTAACACCATCACGTTGGGGTTAGGTTGCAACATGAATTTTGGGGGGGGACACATTTGTTCTGTAGCAGTGCCCCAACCCCCTTGCTCTGCGGAGGTGGAGGGGCCCCCGGCCTTGTCAGGGCTTGTGTGGGTGGTGTGCGTGCTCCACCCCATCTCTGGAAACATCCCCACCCCGCTGCCGCCCCCTGTTGGTGGGTGACTGCTATGGGTGCGGCTGTCTTCCAGGCTGGACACAACTTCTACAACGTGGACCTGAGCTACGTGAAGAAGCTGTGTGGCACCTTCCTGGGCGGGCCCAAGCTGCCCCAGAGGTGAGTGCCCACTACTGGGGAGGACGCACAGCTACACCAGCACTGCTGCCATGGGAGCAGAGATGCTTGGCACAGAGGGAAGGGGGAGGCAAGAAGGCGTCCCTGGCATCTGTAGGCCTCACTGCCCCCAGAGCTGCAGGGACTCTGCCTGAGGTACAGGGGCTAGCCACCGATGCCAGAGTTTCCTACGGTGCTTCTCCAGGCGTCCCAGCTGCAGTGGGAAAGGCCCCAGGTCTGGGTCTCCAAGATCTGAATGGACCCAATCTTGAATAATTTAAGGAAAATCTAAGAAAAGCCATATGATCTGCTGTTAATGTTTTTTTTTTTTTTTTTTTCTGGAAAAGTCTGCAGTTTCTATTTTCATGTAGATATTACTCTTGAAGGAAGTGTTAGAAAAACCTAACAGTGAGGATGGGATAGTTACGTTATGGGGACCATTACACAGTTGTGAAGGTATTTAAAAAATGATGAACCTGGGCAGATGTTTGATTCGGGGTCGGGTTGGGGAAGCAAGAGATAAAATTATCTGGACCCTGTGGCGAAAACTCTTCAAAGATATCCATAAAATGGGTGTAGAAAGAAACGTACAGAAGAGTAAGTTACGTGGAGCAGTAGAACCTATTTTGTTTTAGAAATTCCAAGGGGGGAATTCCCTGGTGGTCCGGTGGTTAGGACTCCACGCTCTCACTGCTGAGGGCCCGGGTTCGATCCCTGGTTGGGGAACTAAGATCCTGCAAGCTGCACGGCACAGCCAAAAAAAAAAAAAAAATTGTGTTTAAATAAATAAAATTCCAAGGGGACACCCTTGCATACGCCCTCCTTTGCATGTCCTTGTGCCTGGCCCCTTCTAGGTGACCTTTGCGGGGATAGGAGAGTGGGTTCTAAGGTGACAGCTTGTGACGGAGACCTTCCTTTTTCCAGAGCTGCCTTTGCTGAGGGCATGATTCTGCCTGAAAGCTTCGATGCCCGGGAACAGTGGCCAAACTGCCCGACCATCAGAGAGATCAGAGACCAGGGTTCCTGCGGCTCCTGCTGGGTGAGTACCCTGCTGGCCGGGAGGGCTGGGGCCAGGGGACAGGTTGGGGTGGGAGAGACCAGGGGAGTTGAGGTTAGACCAGCTGTGACTAGAAGGTTCCCAAGTCTCAGTCTCCACCAGTATAAAAACAAGAAGGATCCCTAAGGTCGTGAATCATTGCAGGACCAGGCGGAAGAATCAGTACATGCAGAATGCCCTGTACAGGGCGTGTCCCACGTATGGGTTGTGAAGCAGTTTTTATTTCTGTTTGACACACTGTCCCAGGCCATCAGCAAATACCATAAACTTTGAAGAAGCATCCCATCTGTATCAATGGCTACCTTAATTGTGTTTGTTTGGGTAAAATACATGACATAAATTTAACCATCTTAATCATTAAATGTACCACCCAGTGGCGTTGGGTCCATTCGGGTTGCTGTGCAGGTATCACCACCTCTGTCCACAGAGCCCTTCATTGTGCAAAACTGAGACTCTGTCCCCACGAAACACTAACTCCCATTCCCCTCTCCCCAACCCTCAACAACCACTCTTCTGCTTTCTGTCTCTTGTGGTTTTTTCTTTTTTTAAATCAGTGTATTCCAGGGTAACTCGCAGGGTGGGATTGGGAGGAGGGGTTGAGTGGGGACGGCAGTCCGGAAGCACGTGCAGTCACATTCTGCACTGCTGAGGAGCCCCTGGGACATTTTTTTTTTTTTTTTTGCGGTACGCGGGCCTCTCACTGTTGCGGCCTCTCCCGTTGCGGAGCACAGGCTCCGGACGCGCAGGCTCAGCGGCCATGGCTCACGGGCCCAGCCGCTCCGCGGCATGTGGGATCTTCCCGGACCGGGGCACGAACCCGCGTCCCCTGCACCAGCAGGCGGACTCTCAACCACTGTGCCACCAGGGAAGCCCCTCCCTGGGACAGTTTTATAGCTCACCCAGGGTATGGGGGGGTAGGTAGGTGCTTGGAAAGGGAAAGTACATTCTTAAGATTCATGAATGGGTAACTGGTCTGTTTCGTGGGTACCAGGAATATGTCAGCGAAGGTTTTCATCATTGTTTGGGGACTAACAGAACATAGAGGCTACCAGGCCCTAGTGATTATTAAAATCTAGTAAATACTAAAACCTTTGATGACACAGAAGTGATTGACTGCACCGTGCATTCCTGGGTAGGGTCAGCAGAAGAATCGGAGGAACTGTAAGGGCCCAAGGGGGAATCGATCACGCTAACAGCTCTGTGCTCCACCCCCCCCTTTTTTTTTGTCTCTCACTATTTTAACTAGTCTGGGTACCTCATATGTAAGTAGATTCATACAGTATTCGTCCTTCGTACAAGCTATATTTTTATGTCAGAAACCAAAGACCGCATGTTTCAGCAGCGAACTGAATGCCCAGGTAGAGGTTTGGGGTGGACTTGTCTCTTGATTTAATGCCCAGCTTGAGTACCAGGCCCCTCCGCTGCCGTGGAGAGGGACCAGCCACCAAGAAGGCACGGGGTGCCTGATGTCGCCCCCCGGGTGGAGGCTGGAGGGCCCGCAGTGCAGGATGGGGCTCAGTGTGCCGGTTCTTGCAGGCGTTCGGGGCGGTGGAAGCCATCTCTGACCGGCTCTGCATCCGCAGCAATGGACGTGTCAACGTGGAGGTGTCCGCCGAGGACATGCTGACCTGCTGTGGCGACGAGTGTGGGGAGGGGTGAGTCGGAGGCCCTCGAAGCCGCCCAGCAGACCCGCGGGTGGGCGCTGGCCGGGGGGCTCCCTGCGGGCGGGAGCGCCGCTCCCTCAGGCGGGATGACGCCTCTGCTGAGACATGATGGGGACCCGGGGCATCGGAAACCAGGCCGGCCGCGCAGAGCTGGGTGTGGGCCATGGGGGCCAGACACAGGTTCTCCGCACAGGAGGCTTAGCTTCTGGGTTTTGTCGTGCTGGTTCCCTTCCTGCTTGAGGAAATGTAGTGGTCTCTGGGGCCTGTCTCCTCTGTAATTAAGGGTGGTGGGCTCCCAGATAAGCCACGTTCGTAACCAGATCCCTGTCTTCTGCCAACTCTGCCCTTGTTTCTGCAACAGTGGTTCTCAGATGCGGCTGCGGATTAGCAATACCTGGGAGTTTAAAAAAAAAAATGCCCAGGTCTCACGCCACAGCAATGAAATGGGAATCCCTGGCATTGGTGTTCTGTAAGAGCCCCAGGGGATTCTAACGTACTGCCCTTCGAGAACCGCTGTCTAGACAGAAGACAGAGCCTGGTGTGGACGTGATTATGAAAGTACTTCCTGTCTTCTGGGGGCGAGTCCCTGCAAGAAGTGGCTGTCGGGAGGATGAATGGGGCATTTGGGGGTCTGGGAGAACTGTCGCGCCAGTTGCCAAAGGCAGTGGTGGTGCACCGGGCTGTGGTCTGGGAGCAGCGAGAACCACTCTCACCATAAGTTTAACCAGTGGTTCTTTTCTCAGCTGTAATGGCGGCTTCCCCGCTGGAGCCTGGAACTTCTGGACGAAACACGGCCTGGTGTCCGGGGGCCTCTATAACTCACATGTGGGTGAGTGTCTGCCCTCAGCCCGCATCTGGCCAGATAGATTTTATATGCAGGAATAATAGTGGTCTCATTTTCCCCTATAAAGTAGAGATTAAGGGTTGAGGGCAGGAATGCTGGGCTGAAAATCCAGGTCGAAAGACAAGGCAGCCTTGTGTATGGCAGTTAGCAACAGGAGGACAGGGTCAGTGCCGCAGACTTGAGGCTTCTGTTCCCGCTAGCTGTCGCCCCGATTCTTCACTCTGGCCTCGACGGGCCTCCTCCTGACACCCACCTTTGTCCTTGGCCCTCCAGGCTGCAGGCCCTACTCCATCCCCCCCTGCGAGCACCACGTGAACGGCTCCCGGCCCCCGTGCACGGGGGAGGGCGACACCCCCAAGTGCAGCAAGATCTGTGAGCCCGGCTACACCCCATCCTACAAAGAAGACAAGCACTTTGGTAAGCGGGGCGGGCGCCCCCAGTGCACCGGCCGGGGGAAGCCAAGGAGGGAAGACCAGGGCTTTGGGGTCTTAGGTCAGGAACACAGAATGGGGCCTATCTTACGGGAGGGAGCAGCACACTGCATTCTGCCCGTTTCCACCCTGAAGTCTGCGGGAATGGTGTCTTAGAACTCCAGCCTAGGAAGGAAGAGACCAAAGGTCTCATTTCATGGGGGAGTAGTCTGCCCTAGAATCCTTCTGGGTGCTGCCTGCCCTGTTTCCAGGGTCTCAGGCCCCGTGCGACCCTCTGTGGGAGGCGCCCTGCCTGACTTGGCCTGTCCCTTTGCAGGATGCAGTTCCTACAGCGTCTCCGGTAGCGAGAAGGAGATCATGGCGGAGATCTACAAAAACGGCCCAGTCGAGGGGGCCTTCTCCGTATATTCGGACTTCCTGCTGTACAAGTCTGGTGGGTCTCGACCCCTGGTGGCAGCTGGAGGGGGAGGGAGGGCTGGGTTCCCGGCTGGCAGGACCTCCTGGGGGGAGGTGGGCCTCCAGGGGGAGGTGGTAGAGCAGCCACACGCCCCTGGCTGCCCCTTGGCTGGTGGTAGAGCTCTCCGCAGCGGAAAGACCAGCTCTCATCTCTCCTTGGGGAGCCTTTCCATCCCCGCCTCCATTGCTTCCTCATCGCATTCACGTTGGCCTTGGCAGAGTCTAAGCGTCATGCCCAGCACCCAGTGGATGAGGAAAGAGGGAGCACCTTGCTGTGGGGATTCAAACAGCCGGGGACAGGATGGTCCCCGCCTGAGAGCTTAGAAATCCCCCATTCCAGACGAACAGTCTGTGCTGAGGGCTTCTGTCTCATTTTATATGCTGCTAGATCGAAAACTCCAAAGCTCTCCAATCTTATAGAAAAAAAACCAAGGTGCCTGGCAAGAAAAATGATAAAGTTGGTAGTTCTTAACAGTCTCCACCAGTATTATATGAGAGGACGCATTTCCAGTTTGACGAAGTGATTCACCAGTGAGGCGGTAGCCTGGGGGTCCTCAGAGCACCTTAGCCAGCATCTTTCTGGGTCATCAGCACTGCCAGCCCAGCCCCTCTCCCACAGCACCTCTGCAGGGTGTGCCCCAGAGCAGCAGTGAAACTAAGCCACGGAACCCTTTCGACACATCATTACGTGAAGTCACTGTATGTAACACAGATATCTGTTGGTATTTTTATTAAAATTTACAACTTTAGTTTTAAAGGGAACCAATGAACACATTTGATTGGCCTCCATCTTAATATTTACCTCCTATAGTGTGTTAGGCTTTCATTCCAAAATGTTGTGGGAACCCCTGGAGCCTTCTTGTGGAACGCCAGGGCCGGTCCTTTCCTCTGGCCCCGTCCGTCCTGCCCGGGGTGACCAGTGAGCTGGAGGGGTGCTGTGGCAGATGGGGTGGCTGCCCGGCCTGACCGCTGTCTCCTTTCCCAGGGGTGTACCAGCACGTCACAGGAGAGATGATGGGAGGCCACGCCATCCGCATCCTGGGCTGGGGAGTGGAGAATGGCACCCCCTACTGGCTGGTCGGCAACTCCTGGAACACCGACTGGGGTGACAATGGTGAGCGCAGCCCCTTCCTGCTGAGAGCAGGGCCCCCTGAGCAGGGCACAGCAGGCGTCCTGTCCTGCTCCGCCAGCTGTGCAGGTGCCGGGGAGCCGGGGCTTCCACGAGGGCAGCCTCTGATCCCGGGAGGGTGTGTGCTGGGCCTGGGTCCCCACAGCACCAGGTGCAGGGGCTGGATGCGAGCTGAACGGAAACCGGCAGAGCACCTTGTGGGCCGGCTGGTGACAGCTTTGGGGCTGGTTTGTGACTTCCGTTTCCCCGTTTTTCAGGGGTGGGTCTGGATATGTCGGCAAAAGCCAAGCACTCTCTAAAGGCGTCTTCTGCTCTCTAGGCTTCTTTAAAATCCTCAGAGGAGAGGATCACTGTGGAATCGAATCGGAAATTGTGGCTGGAATCCCTTGCACTCGTCAGTACTAGAAGGTGTAACTCCTGTGGGCCTGTCCGCCGGCCCTGGGGCAGTTTTTCCCTAAATACCGCCATTCAGACTGGGGATGAGATGCAGGGGTAGGAATGTCTGAAGGACTGGGTCAGGCCGAGCCTCCTGTCTGCCATCCGCACTGTCTTCCAAGGAGACGCAGCCTAGGCCAGCCCAGCAGACGGGCTGCTGTCACGATGCAAGCACTTAGGCAAGTAAGCCTCTGCCGAAGCATGTAGACCAGCTGTGTAGTGCCTGCTGCCCCCGCCTCTGCGTCACCAGGGAGCAGGACAGACCGGAAGGGTTTGTAGTTTCCCAAAGGAGTGGGAAGCAGCGCTCTCCTAGCTAGATGGATTCCCACCCAAGCAGGCAGCTTTCTGGACCCGGAATAGGTTGAGAAGAGATAGATAGTGGGGGCAGCCCTTTGGAGAAAGCCACGTTCTCCCAGGGCCCCTGCGTCTGTCGAGGTCTGCAGCGCTGCTAACCCTCGCTGGTCTTGTCCTTGGCATGATTCTTAGGTTTTCTGTTGTGTGCTCCTCGGCTGATCAGGTGGATGAGAGTCTGCTGGTTGCAAGAGCTGGACTAGTGGTACAGATTGTCTCCTTCAAACTCAGTGGTTGAGATTTCTCTTACCTGCTGCTCTCTGATAGCCCTCTGATACCACAGTCTGGGGAGAAGCCGGCTTTTACTGTTTTGAAATCACTGCTTCACGCTGTTAATATAACAAAGAAAAGAATGACTGCCAATAAAATGCCTCTTCTTCAATGTGAAGTCTGCGTCCTGGTGGCATCTCGAAGGTTGTTTGTCACTGTCCGTAGACATTTAGCTGCTGTCTCTCCTCATGGATCTGGGTGCCCTTGAACCTCTAACCAGGGATATCTTGCCTGGGTTGAGTGGAACAAAATAAATACCTAATTTTTAACTTCACTGCTGCAGCCATACCTTCAAACCACAGCACCTCCTCTCTTCTTACTTTCCTGTCATTCTCATCAACCCTTTTCTATAAGTCTACCACCCCACACTGCCCCAACCCTCGATGAACTCTGCGCCTGCTTAATTAAACAGGTAAGAACTCTTACCTCTTTTTTTATTTTACCAACCGCACACCAGCAGTGACCTGAGGGTTCCTGCAGGCGTGGTGTGCTGGTGGTGTAACCAGTCCTGCTGGAAGACCAGCTTCCCAGGTCGGGGCAGAGCCCGTGTGCAGTTATGAGCTCCTGCCTCTTGAGACGCTCGTTAAGAACTGCTGCTTTGCATCATCCTAATTACCCGTACACAACGGGAGGACCCCAGTTAGTTCTCCAGGGAACAGGAGACTGAATCTCCACCTCTACCCGCACCCCGGCCTGTCAATACCCCAAGTCATTTCCCTTCCACAACTGGGAGTGGAACCAGCTCTTTCCAGAAGCACAGGAGGTTTAACTTCTGATGTGCCCCAGAAATTAGGATCAGAACTACCTCAGATACGCTCTTGAACACCTGGTGAACATCACTGCAGGAAAAACTGGTGAAACTCATAGTACTTACAGAATGTTTAACAAGGGTTAAAGCTACAAATTCTTCATTGCAGTATCTGTACAATTTCAGCTAGGATACATTCATAAGCTCAGTGAAGTTCTAACATTTTCTACCCACTCCCAAACTGCGTTGAATAATTCTGTTTACTACTTTCTCCAATTCGCACCCCTTACCCACCTGCACCTCCATCCTCACCCGAATGCCAGCAGAGATACACTAAGTGAACCGAACTGGACCTCGGGGCATCTTCGTGCTTGGCCTGAGGAGTCTGTTAGAAAATAGAAAGCAATGTTTACGATTGGGATTGACGTCACTACTTCAGTACACACTACCCCACTACCACCACCTCATTGCCTCAGTTCAGTAGGTGGGAAGTTTTTCTTGGGTGCCCCCAAACAAGATGACAGTTGGAAGTGACAGTGCCTTTTCATTCTTTACATGGAGAAGGGCGTATTTTTGTTCAGATTTAGAAGGGTGAGCAAAGGTAGTCCAACCTTTCCCGTTCCTTTAATAGGCATCAGAAACTGTACTTGGGAGCCTCAGGAGTGGTCCATGGACCAACAGCATTGCCATCTCCGAGGTTCTTGCAAGAAATGCACAATTTGGGGACAGACCTGAATCTGCATCTGTAGTTAACCAAGACTCCAGGTGACACGTTCACTATGGTTTGAGGAACGCCTTAGAGCAGTGGTTCCCAAGCTGGTCTCCTGACCAGCAACATTTGTGTCACCAGGGAACTTGTTAAAAACATAGGTTTAGGGGCACCTCCCCAGATCCACTGAGAAATCTAGCAATCTGGAACCTTCAAGCAGTTCACTAAAGTTTAAGAACCAGCCTTAGAGCTCTGTTTCCAAAACTAAGAATAACCTAGGGCTTCCCTGGTGGTTAAGAATCCGCCTGCCAATGCAGGGGACACAGGTTCGAGCCCTGGTCCGGGAAGATCCCACATGCCGTGGAATGGCTGGGCCCGTGCGCCACAACTGCTGAGCCTGCGCTCTACAGCCCGTGCCCTGCAACAAGAAGCCACCACAATGAGAAGCCTACATGCAGCAACGAAGACCCAATGCAGCCAAAAATAAATTTAAAAAAAAAGTAATCTAGAATGCCTGTTAATTAACAAATGTCTAGTCACCCCTCCTCCTCCCCCTACACCTGTGGCCACAGAGAAGGGGCTCAGTAGATAGCAAGAGTGGCGCTTGCAGGTAGTTGTTTCCCAGGGCAGGGTGTGGGTGTGTGTGCAGGTCTCAGCTAGGGCTCCAGAGAAAGTTCCCCAAATGGGGTTAGGCTCTGTTAAGTTTCTTGATTTAAAGCCCTGGATTCAGATAGGTCAGATATTCCTCTGAGGAAAACTTAAAATCTCCCACTGTATGAGTCACGTAGACTATGCCAGGGATGCTATACATTTAATTACTTACCTTAAAAGTGTGGAGTAGACGGTGGGGTTGCCAGATTAAGCAAGTAAAAATACAGGATGCCAGGGCCTCCCTGGTGGCGCAGTGGTTGAGAGTCCGCCTGCCCATGCAGGGGACACGGGTTCGTGCCCCGGTCCGGGAAGATCCCACATGCCGCGGAGCGGCTGGGCACGTGAGCCATGGCCGCTGAGCCTGCGCATCCGGAGCCTGTACTCTGCAACGGGAGAGACCACAACAGTGAGAGGCCCGCGTACCGCAAAAAGAAAAAAAAAAAAAAATACAGGATGCCAAATCAGATTTGAATTTCAGAAGTCATTTTTTAGTATAAATATGTCCTGTGCAGTATTTGGAACATAATTATACTAAAAAACCATTTTATCCGAAATTCAAGTTTAACTGGGTATCCTGTATTATCTGGCAATTGCAGTAGAGAAAACATTTAGAAGGGAAATGTTCTTCCAAAGGAGTGGGCATGCGAGCTAAGACCTTTATAGCTTTACAGCTGGGAGGGACGTAAAAGATCATACAAACCACCAGAAGCTCAGAAAGCCCCACAGCTGAGCCAGGAGAGAAGCTTCCAACGCATCCACCTCAGACCAAGGCTCTTTCCAGCGGCTTGTCCCGTGTCCTACGTGAACTGCAGCAGAACTAACAGATTTCAACACACAAATCTTAACACCTACCTTGGAATCGCAAACCAAGTTTTGATGCTTAAATTACTCACTGCTGAGTCTGGCTTACAGCTGGGCTCTAAGTGGTAAGTGACTTTGGCTTCAATGTGGTGACTGGTTCATCCAGGACTGAGTCTCAAGTGAACCAAAACAGTCCACGGTCAGGCGGCGGCCCACACGAGAAGAATCAGTGTGGGTACGTGTGTCACAGTGCAAACCCAACGTTACTGCTGGAACATAGCTCCTTCAGTGACTAAGTCACACACAGCTGCAGCAAAAGAGGACTGACAATACACTACACACCAAGAGCACAGCTTCGGGAAAGTACTGTAATGCCCTGCGACAGGGATTCTCGGCCCGAGGGGCTTTTTCAAACACCCCTCTGAGCTGAGACTCTCAGGGAGTCACTGGGTGGGCACAGCCCAAACCTCGGCGATGCTGGGGGGAAGAGGGAGGTGGACCACCGTGCTGGGGGAACTGGGCTAAGTGCCACTTGGCTTTCAAGCCCATCACCCGAAAACATCTGCCTTTCTTGAGAAACTAACAGAAAAAAACCCCAAAGCTGAAAATACCCTCCGAATGCAATAAAATTTCTGAATGCAGCTAAGAGAATTAGCTAGAAGTAGAGCAGGCTGGTGGAGGTGATGCCCTTGCTCCCTTCCCAGCAGGCACAGCGCAGGGTGGGGAGGCCGGGTCCCTGCTTCCCAGTGGCAGCAGTGGCCACCGTCCCTCACCCAGTAACTCCAGCCTGGAGTTCCATACCTGCCACGCTCACCCAGGCTTCGAGTGAACTGCCCTTGACAAATGCCGAGTAATTCAGTTCTTTATTATAAAAGTCTCAAAAACGTCAGCCTGAACTGGAAACCAACCTGCTACGATGGGACCAAAGGCGATCCTGAAACCTAAACTTTTAAATGAGGAAATAATGCTAACCCCACCCAGAAGTTACTTCCTAGCCTTCACGTGCAGAAGACAGTCTGCATCCTTAGGAAACAGGGGAATATTCCTAGAACTCTAAACATTCACATCTACTACATTCAAGTCCACTGAAGAAAACAAAAGGATGAGAAAAACAGGAACAGAACAGAAAGAAAATGCACTTCACTTTCTACTAGGATAGGTATTCAAAGGTTGCTTCAAATTAAATACATTTAATTCTAGCCCGTATTCACATTAAGTATGATCTCTCTGCAGGCCTGGATGCAGCCCTGACTGTGACCCACAGCAGTGGACACTCAGCCCTCAGTCACCCCGCCCAGGTGGGCACAGGTGAACACAGGTGGCCAAGGCTGAAGTGTCCTTTCCCTTTAATCTTAATTTCACCACATGTCACAGTTTCTAAAGTTCTAGGCCCACAGAGTTCCTTGAGGAATTAAAGCAGGAGGGAAAAAAGGGGGGAAGCCCACATCCATCCCTGAAGAGAAGGTCAGTCCATTCCCCAGGATGTTCTGTCTCCCGACCAAGCCCAGTCAGCGTTCTCCGGTCTGAACATAGTCCTCTGTGACCTGGGACAGGGTGCTCAGATACTGCCAGCTCAGGGCCGCCAGGAGCATGACAAACGACAGGTAAATGGGTGAGTAGTGGCTCCGACAGATGAGCTGACAGTTGGGAAGATTCTGTGACCTGATCGTGGAGATGATCTGCCTTGTTTTAGTAGAACATGGGTCGGAGTTGGGGATTCTGTGATAAATCTGTGGAAGAAAGAGACGAAAATAGTAAGTCCTAGGAACTTTATAAACATCTGTGTTCACTTCTTACCACAACCTGAAACAGGTAGGCATTTTATGCCCATTTTACCAATGAGAAAAACTGAGGCTCAGAGAACACAAAAGCAATAACCCAAAGTCACTCCACTAATAAGGCAGGATGTCAGCGGGGCCTGTGTGATCCCACGGGCCATCCCGGAGCAGCAGGGTGGCCCCCAAGAGCCCCACCCTCGGAACCTCGCAGAGCCAGTGACATCCACGTTGCTCGCTGAGGGTACAGCAGAGCCACACGGAGGAGGAAGCACACTGCACAGACCGGGCACGGGCACTCGGGAGAACGCAATGGACTCTGAGGTGTGCGCAGCAGGCGAGAACAAAGCAGGGCCCCCGAGAGTCACCCTGGAGGCCTCCCCGTCCCTGCACACCCTCCCCTCCGAAAGCTCCAGAATCCGCGCTGAACCCAGGCCTGCAAACACTGCTCCTGCTTAGGTTAGGCCCTCCCACCGGGGCTTCCAAATCGAGCTCCTGCCTCTGTGCTCGAACCCTAAAGCCACTCACTTGCCCCACCACGCTGTCACCAAAGAGACATACAACCCCTTCGGCGTGACAGCCTCGGGGGTTCCCTATCCCCGGCCGCGCGAGGCCTGAGCTCCTGAGCGTGCACCTGGCCCTGCCCAGGCCCCCGTGCATGCCAGCAACAGTTGCCGGTGATCGTCTTCCGTGTGCGATGCTGCTGTTTCTGTTCCCTCCCCGCTCACACCATTCCCTCTGCCCCCGGGAACGCTCCTCCCACGTGCCGTCGCCAGGCTGAGTCCCACCTCCACCCAAGTCTCGGCCTAGGTAGCTGTCTTCCATGTCACGCGGCCCGAATGCCTGGGTCGGGCCGAGGGCCCCCTCGGGTATATACTCTCTCCCCGTCGCCCACGCCGGGCCACCATCTGCGCGTCGCCCTAAATGGACCAAAGGCCTGAAGGCACCGTGGCTTACTTGCCTTTCCATCTCCGGCCCAGCCCTGTGCCCGGCACAGAGCAGGCCCTCGATCAACGTTTCCTGCCTCAAACCAACCGACCCAGAGGTCATTAAGGTGGGAAGCGATGGGGACCTGAGCCCAGACGGAGGCAAAGTGGATGAAGAGGACAGAGCAAGCATATATAAAATTATTATCTTCAATTTTTCCATTACACAATGGGTATGTTCTTCCCACAAACATTCTCTTATATTCTTGCCCCCGTAACCCCAAAAAGCACAGCTACAATTTAGTATAGCGAGGAAATAAAAGAACATGCTGACAGGAACACGCCAATGACATCTAACATCTAACGCGGTACTACGAAGCACAGCTACAGAGAGAAGACCACACGGAGAGAAACTATGTCTTCTCAAAACACTGTAGATAATGGAATTATGCTTACAAAAATAGGAAAAACAAAAATAAAGAAATCAAAATTCCCTTACATTATCCCCCCTCGCTTTGTCCTTATTAGCCTATACATATAAATGTACAAACAGTCACATATTAATACATACATTAATGTAATACGATATACTGGTGTAGTTGATTCCTGGGTTTATTCCTGGGTTTATTCCAGTAATGCAAGGATTCTTCAATATACGCAAATCAATCAACGTGATAAACCATATTAACAAACTGAAGGAGAAAAACCATATGATCATCTCAATAGAGGCACAGAAAGCTTTCGACAAAATTCAACACCCATTTATGATAAAAACCCTGCAGAAAGTAGGCACAGAGGGAACTTTCCTCAACATAATAAAGGCCATATATGACAGACCCACAGCCAACATCGTCCTCAATGGTGAAAAACTGAAAGCATTTCCAGTAAGATCAGGAACAAGACAAGGTTGCCCACTCTCACCACTCTTATTCAACATAGTTTTGGAAGTTTTAGCCACAGCAATCAGAGAAGAAAAGGAAATAAAACG